TGGAGTGTGCGGGTGGCGGCCGGGAACCGGTGGGCGCGCGGGGAACCGTTCACCCCTCTGCTTCCTGGGCGCTGACTCGAACCCTTGGGCGATTATTTGAAGCAAACTCGGCGCTGAGCGTCCCATAGTTACTCCGCACATTGCTGCCTTTCAAAAGATGAAATTGGTTGAATTTAGGACAAAGCTTTGGGATTTGGGGATTGTACCAGCTGCCCTGGAATTGCTACCACCTTTGTTTTTTCCTGGATGACATGCTTGAGCTGTGGAGTGAGGGGTCATTGAAGTTGTTATATTGGGGGGTCGCTGCCAGTGGAGCCCCTCAAGCTCCAGGGCTGTTTCAGTTTAAAGCAGCGGTTCTCAATCTGTGGGTCGCGAACAATGAAAATACATCCTGCATATCAGATATTTACATTATGGTTCATAACAGTAGCAAAATTACAGTTATGAAGTAGCAACAAAAATAATTTTATGGTTGGGGGTCACCACAACATGAGGAACTGTATTAAAGGGTCGCAGCTTTAGGAAGGTTGAGAACCACTGGTTTAAAGGCATAAACAAGAAAACGGTAATTATAGGCAGGTTTCCCTCATTAGCCGCCAACTGGCAGCAGTGACGCTCCTCGCCCCGCCCTCACCTAGTGTTTTGGCCACTGGGGGCTTAAATGTTGTTATGGGTGTGTGTGCTGTTGGCGGTATTTTTGCATCGCCTTTTAATTCATCAGCCCAACTGTCAGCTCATCCAGGCACGGACTCACCTCTAGGCTTCTGAAAAATGCACAACTGTTAGGAATAACGACCACTACTTAGTTACATGGTGTGTTTAAAATATTTAAACATCTGTATTCCTGTATTCATCTAGAAAGTCCATTTGCTTCCGTGTGTTGGGCCGGGTCATGGAAGAGACCAGTGTTTTTAACATAGTGGACAAGAATCCTGTTCATTTGCTTCGATAGTGTGCCGTTCAAATTTAATAGTTAATTCCTGAAGTTCATCCATAGCCAATCAGGGCAGCCGAAGGGGGAAAAAAATTAAAAACCAAGCGGTATGATTTAGTTAGTAAAATATTGAAGAATGTTAACAAAATAGGAGTAAGTAAAGAATATAAGTTTAGCTTCAAAACTAAAATTATAGTTTTAGTGTAGACATTTAATCACATGGGGAAATGTTTATAATGCTGTTAAAGCAAATTGTCAGGTTCTGTTCAAGATTACAGACAGATATATTTCTATCTTTTCCTATTAAAACTACAATTAAAAAGAAAAGAAAATACGCACATAACAGAAAAGGAGAGGGTTGAAAAATAATCAGTGAACGGATTTCAGCAGATATCCTGAGAGGAACTGGGTATGAGCATGTTATCAAAGGGAGCTCAGGAGCTTTGGCACAGAGCAGGCTGGACAGGTGTCCACCATGCCTTTTCATTGTAGGTAGAAGAGCTCCTTTCAACATTTCTTTTAAGGCAGGTCTACTGGTAGTGAACTTCCTTCCACTTTTGTTTGAGAAAGCCTTTATATCTCCTTCATAGATGAACAATAACTTTGCTGGATAGAATATTCCTGGCTGGAAATTTTTATCTTTTAGTGTTTTGAATATGTCAATTCACTCTCTCTTGGACAATAGAGTGTTTGCTGAGAAATCTGCTGATAGCCTATTGCAGGGGTTCTCAACCTTCTGGCCCTTTAAATACAGTTCCTCATGTTGTGACCCAACCATAAAATTATTTTCGTTGCTACTTCATAACTGTAATGCTGCTACTGTTATGAATCGTAATGTAAATATCTGATATGCAGGATGGTCTTAGGCGACCCCTGTGAAAGGGTCATTTGACCACCAAAGGGGTCGCGACCCACAGGTTGAGAACCGCTGATAAAGGAAGTGGTAAACTTAATTAAAGACTATTCTTCCACAACATTCTGTCTTTAAGCAAATGAGCTATGTAACTTCCAAGTTAATATCCTATACTAATAAAAGACAAACATGCAGATTGACAGTAGTTTTGCTATGCCTTAAGCCACACCCACCAGCCAATCAGAGCGACTATATGCAAATTAACCCAACCAAGATGGCGCCCGGCAGCCACAGAGCTGGCGCGAGAAGGA